TAATCATGTCTTGTGATTAACAGGAGTTTCACTTTTAAACTGTAAGTGTATTTAGTTTAGTTATGATGTAAATACAATAAAAATTAAACCAAGATTTATAATAATTATCATTTTGATCCATACATTGGTAATGTCTGACTGGACCTCGTGTCACTTTATGTTCAATAAATTGGGCCCCGAGGTCAAAAAGGTTAAGAAGCCCTGGTCTATATCAGACAAGAGACCTTTGGTAGATCTGTCATGTTTCACTTAGAAATAAAAATCATTATTAAATTTATTGACTTAGAATTAAGCAGAAGCTTTTAGTTGTTTTGTTGGTGTCATTATTTCTAACCAGCAGTCTTTAGTCATGGCTAACTGTTTATCCGTACATCATGCTGAATAATATTTGACTGAGACATGTCCCACATTTGTTGTTTTCTGGGCTTTAAATGACAAAATGAACCTCTCCCAGTTCATAGACACCCTCTCAGTCCAGTTTTCATCTTTACATCAAACCTTGCTGATTTATTTAGAGGTTTGTGGTCACACTCATTATTATTCTGCACTGTGTTCAACTGCCACAATTTGCATGTCACGTTTAAAAATCTAAACTGTAAAATAGGCTAGAAGTAAAAGGCATCCAGACCAATGCTGTGAACTACCGTGGTGTTGCATGATTTACAGATGTAAATGTTTAATAATTGGAGGAACATGAAGCCCAGCTGGCATTAGAGTAGAAAGAGAAAGTGCAAAAGCTGTAACCAAAAAATGTCCTAAGGAAGAAACCACAGTGCAATAAGCAGTAAGATATTTTAGGTCACAAGTTCAAAATGTTTCTGTGACTTCATTGTGAAAAGAGCCAGCCGAACCACAGCCGTGCTCTGTCCCAGTGCTGCATTCTTTCTGGTCTCATCTGGACTGAAGCATGCAGCAGGACACCAGTTCACATTCCTGCTGCACACTCAGTTTGTGGTCAGCTGTTCCAGGTTCCTGAGTGGGACGTGTTCTCGCTGATGTAAGAGGAGTGAGTCCTGCTGAGGGGAAAAACCAACAACTCAAGTTCAAATGAAGCGAGCTGACAATGAATAAGCATCATTTTCAGTGTTTTCACACAGTCTGACACATGTTAAAACACCCAGTTGTGGTGGCTGGACTTGTTTTTTAAGTCCAAGTTTGTGGTACTTTTACTGTATTTGGCTTCGTTCTTTTAATCATACATTTCACTACAAATTAGAGGAAAAAATTCACTGCTGGTCACACAGTGGGATTGTGGTCAGCACCGTCTCCTCAGAGCAAGAGTATCTCCAGTTTGAATCTGCTTGGACCTCAGTTTAACCAGGTTCATTAAAAATTTTAAATGTTTCAAAGTTTAATGTTTATTAAATCAGTTGTTAATTATTTTTTAAATTTGAGGTTCAGATCAATTTTAATAAACAGCACAACTGACTAGACTCAACCAGCGATAGACCGTGTTGTGACCTGACAGATCAGGGCCTGTGTTTATCAAACTTCTTAGAATAACTCTCAAAAAGGCTGTTAGGAATGGACCTGAGAGTAAAGGTCTTTTATCAAGTGTCTCAGTCTTTCTTTAAGCACAGTGTAGGAGTCATTTCTAAGTTTCAGTCAGTCTTAGAGCTGATTTACAACAGCTTGTTCTGCAAAGCTGATCCTGGACGAAACTCCAGCAGGAACCAATCACTGCCTCAGATTTCATGTTCAAGAATGTTGTCAGAGAAATGTCAAGATAAAACTGTGAAAATCCTAAGATAAGTCCACTTTCAACACACTAATGATGTCACCTTGTGCTGGTTGTCTGTAAATTACATAAAATGTCCTCATTTGCATCATGAACAGATGAAAATCATCCATCCATCCATCCATC